GTTTTGGAAGAGATGCCTCCAACGAAGTGCCACGTCCTGGCATGGACCGCTCCATCTCCCTCTCAGGCTTTTGTTCTGGGCTGGCCACAGCTAGGGGCCAGAGGCCTGAATAGGGGTCTCTAGTAGTGAGAGAGTAGTAGGACAGGGCAGGAGGGGCTATGCTGGGTGGTGAGAAACCTTCCCCTGGAGGTTTGGTGGAGGGCGTGTGTCTGGGTGTGTTGGTGGTGGTCAGGGGCGGAGGGTGCTGTAGAATTAATCCAGTGTAATATGTCTGATACCACACCCTCCTCCGCTCCAGCATCCCTGGGCGGGCTGGGGGTGGGAGTGTTGATGAGGGTCCAGATTGAGCAGACGGGATCTTGGGGACCCTTCCTTCTCTCGGTTTTCCAGAGGGGAGTGGGGTGGGGGGTTGGCGGGATTTGGAAATTGCACTGAGGTCCAGATAAGCCCCTGCTGGTCACCCTTGTAATCACTTATTGATATGGAGATGTACTTCTCTCTAGCCCTTGGAAACCTCTATTGATACGGAGATGTACTCTGGGGGCGGGGGGGGGGGGGGGGGGGGGGGGGGGGGAGGAGCAGGGGAGGAGCTGTCCCACAGTGGGGAACAATAGAGGAGCTGCATTCCGGCTGGGAGTGAAGGAGGAGGCCAGCTGCTGGCAGGCGAAGAGGGGCGGCAAGCCAGGGGGCCCCTACTCCACATCCCATCTCAACCACCAGGACTGTTGGGCGCTGGGGGAATTTTGCAGGGAGACCCAGAATGGAGGAGGGGAAGATGCCACTCCCCGGCACAGCCCTCATCCCCCTGGAGCACTCCGACTCTTGACCATCTCTTGAGATTTCTGGTTTAAAAAGTTGGATTTCCTGTTGTTGCCAGAAACTAAGCACCCAAAGCCCTGGAATTGGGTGGGGACACTGATATCTTTTCTTGGATGTGGGGGTGGTCTTGGGAGGCCCTGGAATTTCATGGAGTCATTCTTTCCTCTTCTGCCTCCGCATCAGATGGGCCTCTCATAAAAATCGGGGGATTTCTCCTATTCAGAGAATATAAGCCTCCCCCTGGTTCCTTAAGCACCTGGAAGTCCTCCCTCTTGTCTGACTGCACTCCTCCTGCTGCAGTGTCAATACTCCTCTATTTGACCTCTAGGAAGGTGAAGCCCAGTGGGTCTTCCTGTCAAGAGATGCTTCTTCAGGGTTGCAAAACCCAGAATGAGTTCCACAGATCGAGGCCTCAAGCATTTCTCCTCTTTTGCCCCTGCCAGTCTGTCTCACCCCAACCCAAACCCCCAAAGATACTTAGGTTTCACCTAAGTTGATGAAGCCAAAACTTAGAGGCAGAACCCAAGTGCCAATCAGATGCCATGTGAGTAGAAGTTGTAAGAGAAGGGACTTCACTGTTCCTCAGTTCTTCGTGCCTCACAAATAGAACAATCCTTTACTGACATTAGAGCACTAAGGATGTGGGCTTGACAACAGGTAGGACTTCTCAACTGCTAAGTGGTTTGAAGACAAAAAGGGAGAAGCAAATTCTCCTTCCTGAGGCTTCTCAAAGGTGAGGAGAGCTGCCCCCAGCCCACTCTATCCTCCCACCTGCCAATCGGGAGTGAAAGGAGAGGAAAAAAATAAGCTCACCTCAGGCCTGTGGTTGGAGGGTTGAGGCAGGGTCAGAAAACTGGGACTACGGCTTTGGTTTGGGGCACAGGGCATAGATAGTGTGGTGGGGGAGTGAGAAAGAGGGTGGTGAGTGTGTACCTGGACAAGGTGAATGGGTCTATGGGTGAATGGCAGTAGAAGTTGTGGGCACATAGAGGAATGTGCTGCCCGTGTGCTGGGGATGATGAGGATGGAAGAGGGATGTGTGGAAGGTTGAAACACGGAATCTGCACATGTGTGCACTCGTGTGTGTCAGGGGGTGATGTGAAAGTGTACCTTGAGCTTGCAGCGCAAGCATTCTTTAGCTAAAGGCACATGGTACCTCATGGCTTTTAGGTCCGTGTGTGTGCAAACTCGTGGCATGTGTGCTTCGAAAAACTGTGTGAGTAGCTGAGGCTGCGTGTGAAGCTCGGGGCAGGGAGAGGGAATGTGGGAAAGGAGAGAGGCTTGTCTGGTCAGCTCTCGAGGTCCACAGCCTTTAGAGATGGTGTGGCTATCCCAGCCTCCCTCCCTCTCTTCTTTCCCCTTCTTCCTCTCTGTCCCTCTTTGTCTCAGCTTTCTTCTTTCTCTTCCTGTCTCTCTACCCAACCTCCCAGTTTTAACCCACTCCTACTTCAAAGCAGGAGAATGGGTCCAGAATGCCTTTTCCCTCCTCTATTCAGCCCCAGGCCCATCTCAGCTCTCCTGCGCAGGGGACAGGGTGGCAGGAGTGTCCACAGGGTTAGGTGCTCACTCACAATCATTATCCTATCTCCATACTCCCTTTCCTCTTGAAACTGATCCTCAGACTCTTTCCAGTCTCCCACACTCCACTAGTTGCTGCAAACTTGCTATCAATTTGGGGCCTATTGAGAGACACTAATGGGTGGAAGGTGTGGAGAGGGATAAGGAGATGGGGGGGTGTCAGTGAACCCTGGATAGATTAAAATGAATGGAAGTCAAGTGAGAACTAGATTGTGGGGTTACTGAATGCTTTGGGGTTCTGTAGAAAGATCAGGGTCAGCAACAGATTGGGGAGGATTGTGATGAAGTGATTTGGAAGTTTGTCAGTAGCTGGGAATCAGAGAAACTGAGGGAAAAGCACATGGTCAGGGAGGAGTTGGTGAGTAGATTTGAGGTTAAGCAGCTTGTCTGGGAGGATCAGTGATTATTTGCCGGTTTCGGGGAGCCAGTAAATTAGGAGGGTCCTGAGTGGAATTCAAGGGAAAGTTGGTTCATTTTGAAACCTGTGGTTGATAGAGATGTTGGATGGATCTGAGACATGAGGGGATTGTTCAAGTCAGGGCAGATGGGGGTGCAGTGTTCCAAGGGTAGCCTGAGAGGTTCCTGGGGGGCTGGTATCTGGATATGTACAGGATATAAGGATCAGGAGCTTATAGGTCGCAGCACAAACCTTGCCCTGTGAGTTTCTTTCTCTCTCCCCTTCCCTTCTATCCCAGGCTGCAAGATTAAGGCTCTGAGGGCCAAGACCAACACATACATCAAGACACCAGTACGGGGCGAGGAGCCAGTATTCATGGTGACCGGGCGGCGGGAGGACGTGGCCACAGCTCGACGGGAAATCATCTCAGCAGCAGAGCACTTCTCCATGATCCGTGCCTCCCGCAACAAGTCAGGGGCAGCGTTTGGCGTGGCGCCTGCCCTGCCCGGCCAGGTGACCATTCGTGTGCGGGTGCCCTACCGTGTGGTGGGCTTGGTGGTGGGCCCCAAGGGGGCAACCATCAAGCGCATACAGCAGCAGACCAACACGTACATTATCACGCCAAGCCGCGACCGCGACCCGGTGTTTGAGATCACGGGTGCCCCGGGAAACGTAGAGCGTGCGCGCGAGGAGATCGAGACGCACATCGCGGTGCGCACCGGCAAGATCCTCGAGTACAACAATGAAAACGACTTCCTGGCGGGGAGCCCCGACGCCGCGCTGGATAGCCGCTACTCGGAGGCCTGGCGCGTGCACCCGCCCGGCTGCAAGCCGCTCTCCACGTTCCGGCAGAACAGCCTGGGATGCATCGGCGAGTGCGGAGTGGACTCCGGCTTTGAGGCCCCGCGCCTGGGCGAACAGGGCGGGGACTTTGGCTACGGCGGCTACCTGTTTCCGGGCTACGGCGTGGGCAAGCAGGACGTGTACTACGGCGTGGCCGAGACCAGCCCCCCGCTCTGGGCGGGCCAGGAGAACGCCACGCCCACCTCGGTGCTCTTCTCCTCCGCCTCCTCCTCCTCCTCCTCTTCCGCCAAGGCCCGCGCGGGGCCCCCGGGAGCCCACCGCTCTCCTGCCGCCTCCGCAGGGCCCGAGCTGGCGGGCCTCCCGAGACGGCCGCCCGGAGAGCCGCTCCAGGGCTTCTCCAAACTTGGCGGGGGCGGCCTGCGGAGCCCCGGCGGCGGGCGGGATTGCATGGTGTGCTTCGAGAGTGAGGTGACTGCTGCCCTCGTGCCCTGTGGACACAACCTGTTCTGTATGGAGTGTGCAGTACGCATCTGCGAGAGGACGGACCCGGAGTGTCCCGTCTGCCACATCACAGCCACGCAAGCCATCCGAATATTCTCCTAAGCCCCTTGCCCCGTGCCTCCTGGGGCCACTCCCCAGGGGCCTGCCTTGGTGCTGTTTTTCACCAGGGCCTTTTGGAAATCAGTGATTTGAGGGGCAAGGTGCTTAGAGATACTCGCTCGCTAGGGAAGGGGGTGGGGGAGGCCATGGTGGCTGGAGGGTGGGCCACTTTCAGAGCCTCTGGTCACCCTGTCCTGGAAAGGGTGGGAGGGGGCCAGACGGGAAATTTTACTAGAGTTACAACTCTGATACCTCAACACACCCTTCAATCTGGAAGCAGCTAAGAGAAACTTGTTTTGCCAGAGGTGGCCGCTAAGGCATCCCGACCCCCTCTACCCACCTCCCCCTCTGTGTGTCACAGTACCCCCTCCTCTGTGGACGGGGTGGGGAAGGGAGAGGGAGAATCACCATCTGTATCTAGAGGTGCTCTTTACAATCCCCAAGACCTCTGGACCTGAACTCCGACCTCCTACATGACCCTTTAGACTCTGCACCGCCATATCCTGTTTGGGAATTCGTTCCTGAGTCTCAAACAGTATAAGGGAGTTGGAGCCCTTTCAGAATTCTGTGTAGACTTTGGGGTGGGAGGAAGCTTGTCAATCAAAAAGGGCTCAGAACTCATCTGTCCCCACAAAGCTGGGCTAGAGGAACCTGAAGAGGGTCACTCCTCTGCCCCTTCGGCTTGCCCTTCGTTCTCTCCCCCGCCTCCCTCCCTTTGGGTTCTACTTTCTCCACCCTTTCCCCAGCTCTTCTCTTTGCTTCGCGGCAGAGGCTGTCACTCACAACCCTGTACTGCTCTTTCTAACCTCCCCTCTCCCTTCTGCCCCTTCCAGCCCAGCTTTGGGGACATAATTCCCCTGGGGAGAAGTAGGGGGAAGAACATTTTGGTGGTCCCCTGATTCCTCTTCTGGCCCCTGGGGGGGCCCTCTCTCCCACTTCTCCAAAGAAACACCTCGAATTCTTGATAGAATGTATCCCCATTCTCAGTGACAATTTGAGGAGGGGACTGATATCGGGGTACATAAAGTGTCGAACCTCCACCTTTCTCATCTCTGGGCATTACATTTAGGGAGCAGTTCTTGTGCTAGATTTTCTGGTGGTGGGAGGGTTGAGCCAGGGTAGTGTGTCTGCTGTTTCAAGGAGCAGGAAAGGGCCTGAGGCAGGAGGAGAGGTGGTGGAGGGAACGGCTGCCTCTCCCGCACTTTAGTGCCCCACTCCCTGCGCCCCTCTCTGGACTTGACCCGAACCCTTATTAGTGAGCAAATGATGAAGTCTCTGTTCCTACCCTTTGTGGTCGAGGAGAGAGACCAGGTGTCCAGAGAGGGTCAGTTCAGGGCCAGGCAGGATCGGGGTGTGGCAGGGCCTGTTCTGAGAATCGTGTACTGTTCGCAGGGCTCGTACCGCCTTTGCTGCTCACCTACTGCTCCTAGAGCTGCCACCAGCCTTCCACTCTCCTGGTTCCGCTGGCCGGGCCAGGAGAGGTTGGAGATGGGAGTTCCCGGGGGTCCCAGGAGATTCTTGTATATAGTGGGGTGGGACTGTTCTAAGTGATCTCTGAGCACTTAAGCTCCGAAGTCCCATTCTTCCTGGATGGAGAGGGGGTGCAGGGATGGGAGTATAGAGGGGATTTCCTCCTCTCCTTCCTCCTGTTGTGAATTAAGTCCCCTCTCCTCAGCCTTCCCCTCCAGACCACCAGCCAGGGAGAGGAGAGGAAAGAGGTCACAGCCAGGAAAACTGGCTTATGACGCTTTCCCTCCTTCCCACCAATGTGAGCCATCCTGAGATGTCTGTACAAAAGAAACCAAACCAAATGGGCACCCTCGGTCACCGAGGGGGGTGGGGAGGGGGGTGGGAAGAGGGAATGTCTGTCTGTCAACCCCCCTCCCCCTCTCCACTCCTTACCCACAAAGGCAGAAGACTGTTACTCTAGGGGGCTCAGAAATTCAATCCCACCCTTACAGATTGAGCCAAACCTAGAAACAAACACAAAACTCACAAAGACACAAAAGAAAGGAGAGAAAGAGAGCGTGAGAGGGAGCGAGATAGGCGACCAACAGAGAGGAGAGAAAACAAAAATAGCAAAAAAAAAAAAAAACAGTTCTTTATAATTTAATATTCTATTTTAATAAAGGCGTTTATTACCGTATAAATGTAGCAAAGAACCTGGGCTAATATGAAAAAAAAGACTTTTTATTAGGTAATTTATTATATGAAAAGGATATTTTATTTTATGATAAAGTGATCCTTAAAAAAAATAAAAAAACTTTAGAAGGCTTAGAATATATGTAGGGAGAGAAGAAGAAAAAAAATACATTTGTATTCAGAGTTAAATCTTAAAAAAGTGTTTTTAATATATGTTCTGGTTTACGTTCCTTTTTTCCCCTACTTTTTTTTGGGGAGGAATGTCATTTGCTTTTTGGGGGAGCATCCTGGGATGGATGGTGGAGAAAGGGGCTAGGGGAACTGGTCCCCCGGGGGCCCTGCAAGTAGATGGGATTTCACTCTGGGCTCCCCCCCCCTCTCCCCTTCCCCCTCAGGGCGGGGAGCTGGCAGAGTTGAACAAAGAAAGGGATTAACAAGAAAGGAAGAAGCAGTAGGACTGAGGATCCTGGGTGCCCCCCTTCCCCTGCCCCATCTCGGGGGCTCAAAAGGAGGGGAAGCTCAGAACTGAGGCCTAGCAGGCCTACGGGACCCCTCAGAGAGGTGTGAGATTTAAGAGAAATAGTTTTGTTTTGTTTAACCAAAAATGAGAGAGAGAGAGAAGAAAAGAAACCGAAGGGTTTAAAAGAAAAGAATACTACAAAATAATAATTATTAATAATAATTCAAATTTATTTCATATAATCCTAGAGAAAAAGAGAATAACTAGTTACTTAGTAGACGATATTCAGATAGCTTAAAGTTTAGTAGCATTGCGGGCCCCTGGGTCCAGTAGAATGTATAAAAGTTGTAATGAAAAGGAAAATAGAGAAGAGAAGTGGCTGAATCCACCCTGAGTCACCCGTCTTCAGATATCCAGATGGGAGCAGGTTGCTATTTAAGGCTGGGAACTTCCAGTTTGCTGGGGTTGATTCTGAGAATCCTTGAATTTTTAATTGTAGGACAAATACATGAGGGGTTCAGTTGCCAGGGTCTTTGAAAGGCTGAACATTGATAATTTCACCCAGATGGGAGCTGGGCTGGGGGCAGCAGAGGGTGAGGGCTCTTGTCTGCAGCCTGCCCCCCTCCTCTGTGTCCCAGTCCCTGGGGGCCTGTTATCCTGTCAATCCCTCTGTGCCTGTTGGGCAGCCCTTACTCATTCAAAAGCGTCCTCTCTCCCAGCTCAAACCTCCAGAGCTAGCTTCTAGCAGGCCTAATTGAGGAAGTCCTTAAAGTGTCACCTTAACCACTTCAAAGAATGATTCAAGAGCCTGATAGAGCATTCCACAGAGAGACACGCACTTCTCACCTTCTCAGAGCTTCAAGGGGACTAAGGGAGTAGTCTGTCCCCCATCCATGTTCCCACCCAATATCCCACTTAGCTTTTGGCCTTCATAGCAGTGGGTGTAACAATCTCAAAAAATCGTTAAAACCACACTGCTTTACAGGTTTTCAAAGTGCTTTATTGTCTCATAGAAGTTAGATTCCAAGAAGGACTTCCCACCTGCTGGGGTGGAGAGGAGGAGATGTTGTCCTTGAAGGCCTGGGAGAACAGGGCCCCCAAGGGTATAAAGGCAAGCGGAGGGCAGTAGGGACTCTGGATGACCCTGACCCTAACCCTCTGCTCCAATCCACCTCCATCTGTAAGTGACACAGTTAGGGGTCATCTACTGTGTCCTGGCCTGGGGGCACATCACCCTCCCCACAAAAATGGGGAGCTTGGTATTTTGCATGCATTATATTTAAAGCACTTGCCTTCTACCAAGCCCAGCCTGCAATCAGATCAGGCCCCTCCTTCCCATCCAAGGGGGAGCAGAGGTCCCTCGCTCCCTTTGGCAAGAGGAGCCTGCTCCGTTACACCAGTGACTGTCATGCCCCTCTTTGGTCCTATACCCCAAACACATCTCCCTCTCCCCGGTTTACTCTTCTCACCCCACCTAGGGACAGATTTACCCCCTGCTCTTTTTGTCCTAGAAACCCCGCTAGTTTGGGAAGGTAGCGTCTGGGGTGGGGAGGGCTTCCCTTTCCCCGCTCAAGGGTGCGGGTGGGGTAGGGTGGGTTGGGGGAGACAGCCCTGGGGCAGGGGGGATGTTCTCTCCACTGTAGAAAGTAGAGTAGGATTGTGGTCAGACTTAATTTGAGGCATCTAGTGAAGACATACAAATCCACCAAGGAAAAATACTTCAAAAGCAAAATAAAGGCGGGAAACAAAACGGACCCATAAATAATCAAGTCAAAGTGATGTTGCACAAAATGCAGAGAAACCAAGAAAGGGGAGGGTTAATGTATTAAATGTGCTATTAAGAACTTAATTTTATTAAAAGTATTATTACTTAAGGCTGTGGCTTCTTTTCTCTGCACCCGGATGGGTATGAACCACCTCCGGATGAGTGGGGTGGACCTGTGGGGATTGTAGCTGGAGGTATTCCCCAGGTAATTCTGGGGGCCCCTGCCCACCTTGCAGGAAGTGGATGGCTCCTCCTATCTGTTCTCCATGGCTCCCTTCTTGAGTCTCTTAAACACTCAGTCCCCTCTCTTTTCTCCCCATTTACCACCTTCTGTTCCTTGGGGGTACCATCAGACCTCCTTCCACCCTAGACAGCCAATGTCTGGGCTCGATGGAGCCAGGGCAGAGAGCTAAGACCTTACCCACTCATCCACACCAGAGTCAATCCATCCGTGCATACCACATCACCCCCTCTTTGGGGTTAGGGATCGAAGACTTGGACCTTCCACCTCCCAGGCTTACCCCCTGACCCCAGCACACACAGACAGGGCTGGCCCTGACTCCCCATCCTCTCTAAATCCGCTCCCCACCCACCTCCTCCCCTCACCCCTGGCATTGGAGTGACCTCAGTTCTTGGCACCAGGGCCCTGGGCACCAGATGGTGCCTGCCGATGCTTTTCTTTGTCTGGCCTTCCAGATACCCCTCTCTGCCATGCTGTCTGCCCTCCCCCACCTGCCTTGGGGGTTGGCAGAG